AGTTCAACTAGCATGGGGTGTTGGCGATCTAGTCAGTTCTTACAACTAGCATGGGGTGCTGGCGATCTAGTCAGTTCTTACAACTAGCATGGGGTGCTGGCGATCTAGTCAGTTCTTACAACTAGCATGGGGTGCTCAAGTCTGTTCTTACAAGCATGGGGTGCTGGCGATCTAGTCAGTTCTTACAACTAGCATGGGGTGCTGGGGATCTAGTCAGTTCTTACAACTAGCATGGGGTGCTGGGGACCTAGTCAGTTCTTACAACTAGCATGGGGTGCTGGGGATCTAGTCAGTTCTTACAACTAGCATGGGGTGCTGGGGACCTAGTCAGTTCTTACAACTAGCATGGGGTGCTGGCGATCTAGTCAGATCATACAACTAGCATGGGGTGCTGGCGACCTAGTCTGTTCTTACAACTAGCATGGGGTGCTGGCGATCAAGTCAGTTATTAGAACTAGCATGGGGTGCTGGCGATCTAATCAGTTCTTAAAACTAGCATGGGGTGCTGGCGATCAAGTCAGTTCTTAAAACTAGCACGGGGTGTTGGCGATCTGATCAGTTCTGGCGATCTGATCAACTAGCATGGGGTGCTGGCGATCTAGTCAGTTATTACAACGTGCATGGGGCGCTGGCGATCTAATCAGTTCTTAAAACTAGCATAGGGTGCTGGGGACCTAGTCAGTTCTTAAAAATAGCATGGGGTGTTGGCGATCTAGTCAGTTCTTAAAACTAGCATGGGGTGCTGGGGACCTAGTCAGTTCTTACAACTAGCATGGGGTGTTGGCGATCTAGTCAGTTCTTTCAACTAGCATGGGGCGCTGGGTACCTAGTCTGTTCTTACAACTAGCATGGGGTGTTGGTGATCTAGTCAGTTCTTACAACTAGCATGGGGTGCTGGGGACCTAGTTAGTTCTCTAGTCAGTTCTTTCAACTAGCATGGGGGTGCTGCATGGGGTGGCGATCTAGTCAGTTCTTACAACTAGCATGGGGTGCTGGCGATCTAGTCAGTTCTTACAACTAGCATGGGGTGCTGGGGATCTAGTCAGTTCTTACAACTAGCATGGGGTGCTGGCGATCTAGTCAGTTCTTACAACTAGCATGGGGTGCTGGCGATCTAGTCAGTTCTTACAACTAGCATGGGGTGCTGGGGATCTAGTCAGTTCTTACAACTAGCATGGGGTGCTGGGGACCTAGTCAGTTCTTACAACTAGCATGGGGTGATCTGTCAGTTCTTACAACTAGCATCTAGTCAGTTCTTACAACTAGCATGGGGTGCTGGGGACCTAGTCAGTTCTTACAACTAGCATGGGGTGCTGGCGATCTAGTCAGATCATACAACTAGCATGGGGTGCTGGCGATCTAGTCTGTTCTTACAACTAGCATGGGGTGCTGGCGATCTAGTCAGTTCTTACAACTAGCATGGGGTGCTGGCGATCTAGTCAGTTCTTACAACTAGCATGGGGTGCTGGCGATCTAGTCAGTTCTTACAACTAGCATGGGGTGCTGGGGATCTAGTCAGTTCTTACAACTAGCATGGGGTGCTGGGGACCTAGTCAGTTCTTACAACTAGCATGGGGTGCTGGCGATCTAGTCAGTTCTTACAACTAGCATGGGGTGCTGGCGACCTAGTCAGTTCTTACAACTAGCATGGGGTGCTGGCGATCTAGTCAGTTCTTACAACTAGCATGGGGTGCTGGCGATCTAGTCAGTTCTTACAACTAGCATGGGGTGCTGGGGATCTAGTCAGTTCTTAAAACTAGCATGGGGTGCTGGGCGATCTAGTCAGTTCTTACAACTAGCATGGGGTGCTGATCTAGTCAGTTCTGGGGTGTCAGTTCAGTTCTTACAACTAGCATGGGGTGCTGGCGATCTAGTCAGTTCTTACAACTAGCATGGGGTGCTGGCGACCTAGTCTGTTCTTACAACTAGCATGGGGTGCTGGCGATCTAGTCAGTTCTTTCAACTAGCATGGGGTGCTGGCGATCTAGTCAGTTCTTAAAACTAGCATGGGGTGCGATCTAGTCAGTTCTTACAACTAGCATGGGGTGCTGGCGATCTAGTCAGTTCTTTCAACTAGCATGGGGTGCTGGGGATCTAGTCAGTTCTTACAACTAGCATGGGGTGCTGGCGATCTAGTCAGTTCTTACAACTAGCATGGGGTGCTGGGGACCTAGTCAGTTCTTACAACTAGCATGGGGTGCTGGCGACCTAGTCAGTTCTTACAACTAGCATGGGGTGCTGGCGATCTAGTCAGTTCTTACAACTAGCATGGGGTGCTGGCGATCTAGTCAGTTCTTACAACTAGCATGGGGTGCTGGGGATCTAGTCAGTTCTTACAACTAACATGGGGTGCTGGGGACCTAGTCAGTTCTTTCAACTAGCATGGGGTGCTGGCGATCTAGTCAGATCATACAACTAGCATGGGGTGCTGGCGACCAAGTCTGTTCTTACAACTAGCATGGGGTGCTGGCGATCTAGTCAGCTCTTTCAACTAGCATGGGGTGCTGGCGATCTAGTCAGTTCTTACAACGTGCATGGGGTGCTGGCGATCTAATCAGTTCTTAAAACTAGCATGGGGTGCTGGGGATCTAGTCAGTTCTTACAACTAGCATGGGGTGCTGGGGACCTAGTCAGTTCTTACAACTAGCATGGGGTGCTGGCGATCTAGTCAGATCATACAACTAGCATGGGGTGCTGGCGACCTAGTCTGTTCTTACAACTAGCATGGGGTGCTGGCGATCAAGTCAGTTATTAAAACGTGCATGGGGCGCTGGCGATCTAATCAGTTCTTAAAACTAGCATGGGGTGCTGGCGATCAAGTCAGTTCTTAAAACTAACGCGATCTGATCAGTTCTTAAAACTAGCATGGGGTGCTGGCGATCAAGTCAGTTCTTAAAACTAGCACGGGGTGTTGGCGATCTGATCAGTTCTTAAAACTAGCATGGGGTGCTGGCGATCTAGTCAGTTATTACAACGTGCATTCGGCGTTGGCGATCTAATCAGTTCTTAAAACTAGCATAGGGTGCTGGGGACCTAGTCAGTTCTTAAAAATAGCATGGGGTGTTGGCGATCTAGTCAGTTCTTAAAACTAGCATGGGGTGCTGGGGACCTAGTCAGTTCTTACAACTAGCATGGGGTGTTGGCGATCTAGTCTGTTCTTTCAACTAGCATGGGGCGCTGGGTACCTAGTCTGTTCTTACAACTAGCATGGGGTGTTGGTGATCTAGTCAGTTCTTACAACTAGCATGGGGTGCTGGGGACCTAGTCAGTTCTTACAACTAGCATGGGGTGCTGGCGATCTAGTCAGTTCTTTACAACTAGCATGGGGTGGGGGGTGCTAGTCAGTTCTGCTGGCAAGTCAGTTCTTAGCATGGGGTGCTGGCGATCTAGTCTGTTCTTACAACTAGCATGGGGTGCTGGCGATCTAGTCAGTTCTTTCAACTAGCATGGGGTGCTGGGGACCTAGTCTGTTCTTACAACTAGCATGGGGTGTTGGTGATCTAGTCAGTTCTTACAACTAGCATGGGGTGCTGGGGACCTAGTCAGTTCTTACAACTAGCATGGGGTGCTGGGACCTAGTCAGTTCTTACAACTAGCATGGGGTGCTGGCGATCTAGTCAGTTCTTACAACTAGCATGGGGTGCTGGCGATCTAGTCTGTTCTTACAACTAGCATGGGGTGCTGGCGATCTAGTCAGTTCTTACAACTAGCATGTGGTGCTGGAGACCTAAAGTACTGTTGGAAATAGAAAAAACCCTGTTTTTAGGCTGTTACTCTGTATCCCTAAAATTTACACAACTGCAAATAGCATATGTCGAAATAACCCACTTCGGCCTAACTTGGCATTCAGTGGAATGAGTAATAGGATATCCAGAAAAGCATGTTTACTTGTAAAATCGGGCAAAACTTTTTTTATTTTTCATGTGTGTTGACTATGCCTCATCTATTGATTAACATCTTATGTGTCTTTCTTTCATGAAGTTTATGTTGAGATATGTAAAAGAGTATGATACCTGATAACCAAGGAAACGCATCGTATTAAATGTCTCAAAATATATAGGTGGCATGATCGCGAAGATCGACAGAACTGGATATTATTTGTAAATTGTTATGACATGACGTGTACTTCCCCAGTATAATTACCCTAAAGGATTATCTTATCTTAGCTGATATCTCACCCCTCCAGGTTTTGCTTTTGAGACGAACCCTCCTATCTGTTTCTTTTTATAGTGAGACAGTGTGACTCCATGGTAGCTACATTCTTAATAGTTCCAGCATGAAAGTTATTATTTTTTTACACCAGCTATCGTTTATAATGAAGCCACATCTAATTTCAAATTGGGCATTTAAAAAGTGTCTTTGTAATACAATATCGTCTCACAATAATTTGCATAAAGCCATGGTCTGTTCCAAATAAATCGTTTTGGACTTAGAAAAAAATCGCATTGCTCATTTCTGCACTAATCTCTCCTCAGTAAAGTCCTCTTTCTACATTTCCTATGTCCCTACCACTGAGACTGTAGTTAGGCTGAACTTAGTTTAACAGATATTTCACACTTGCACATTTACTTCATAAATTGTAGAGATAAATGAGAAAATACATTTTTTTCCTATTTCCGACAGTACTTTAGTCAGTTCAGCTCTACATTAATAGAAGAACGTGCAAATTTATTAATACACCACAAAATATTATAGAACATTCTTTCTTTTCATGTTCAATAACAGAGATTAGTGACCAGACTTCAGAAGACAAACAGAAGAGTCATTTGGAGCAGCAAAGTTCATACGACAATGTCCAACTGAACAATTCAAACTTCTTCACCTCTTTCATGAATATGTCCCAAATTATTACCAACAACTTAATAATCTTTTATCCATCAACACTTGATAAACTGACACAAACCTTTGATGGCCATACAACTTGCACGCAACCTTATCCTCAAAGTTAATCAGTCCAGTATATGTGACGTGATGAATAACTACTGCGGGTACAAGCTTACCTTTTCACCCAGACTGGTTCGTTGGTGCTGTCCTCCTGTTGATATGACGACTGTAGAGCCACACCCTTGCTGCGCTGGATGGCCGACTTGATATCTGCAATAGCCATGTCCAGGGCCTCGCGCTTGGCCTTCAGGTCATTCATAATAGCCTGAGCATCCATCTCCTTATTTCGACTCTCAGAATGTTCCTTCAAAGAAAAGGACAAATCTTCAATAGATTCAAAAAGCTGTTTTTACTTTATTGATTGAATAATTGTCAACATTACAAGTAATGAAAGGTCTCATTGGATGCAGCATAAACAAAGTTCCTCTACAAATATCAATATCAGACAGCACTTTGGTTAGTATTAATCACTTTTACGTGCATCAGGACAAGGAAACTAACTGAACTTTTTGGTTGTTGGTAAAACCTAATATGATTCTTACGTGGTAATGATCACTGTACCTAAGAAATGAAACTTTGACTTCAAAAACCTAAGGTTTGATTTCCATCCATTTCATCGCTGGCAAAAATATCTGTCCAAGTTGCATTGGGAGCGGATCACACCACTTAAGATATTACAACAATATGAAATAACACACATCAGCTTGAAAACATTTTGTTGTGCTATAACATTTTAAAACATCCAATCTGCATTGCTGATCTTCTGCATACAGACTTCACCTGGGACCACTTGCACAGTAAATGTTCTAATACAGCCTTGGCTTTCACAGTAGAATGTATTTTACTGATTGTTCTAATACAGCCTTGGCTTCCACAGTAGAGTGTACTGATTGTTCTTTACTGATTGTTGTTAATACAGCTGCTAGAGTGTATTTTACTGATTGCACAGTAGAGTAGAGTGTACTTTACTGATTGTTCTAATACAGCCTTGGCCTGCACAGTAGAATGTATTTTTACTGATTGTTCTAATACAGCCTTGGCCTGCACAGTAGAGTGTAGAGTTTACTTTACTGATTGTTCTAATACAGCCTTGGCTTACTGATTGTTCTAATACAGTAGAGTGTACTTTACTGATTGTTCTAATACAGCCTTGGCCTGCACAGTAGAGTATTTTGTATTGTTTTACTGATTGTTCTAATACAGCCTTGGCCTGCACAGTAGAGTGTATTTTACTGATTGTTCTAATACAGCCTTGGCTTTACTTCACAGTAGAGTGTACTTTACTGATTGTTCTAATACAGCCTTGGCTTCCACAGTAGAGTGTACTTTACTGATTGTTCTAATACAGCCTTGGCCTGCACAGTAGAGTGTACTTTACTGATTGTTCTAATACAGCCTTGGCCTGCACAGTAGAGTGTACTTTACTGATTGTTCTAATACAGCCTTGGCCTGCACAGTAGAGTGTACTTTACTGATTGTTCTAATACAGCCTTGGCTTTCACAGTAGAGTGTACTTTACTGATTGTTCTAATACAGCCTTGGCTTTCACAGTAGAGTGTACTTTACTGATTGTTCTAATACAGGCTTGGCCTGCACAGTAGAGTGTATTTTACTGATTGTTCTAATACAGCCTTGGCTTTCACAGTAGAGTGTACTTTACTGATTGTTCTAATACAGCCTTGGCTTTCACAGTAGAGTGTACTTTACTGATTGTTCTAATACAGCCTTGGCCTGCACAGTAGAGTGTACTTTACTGATTGTTCTAATACAGCCTTGGCCTGCACAGTAGAGTGTACTTTACTGATTGTTCTAATACAGCCTTGGCCTGCACTGATTGTTCTAATAGAGCTTTCACAGTAGAGTGTACTTTACTGATTGTTCTAATACAGCCTTGGCGTGCAATAGAGCGTACTTTACTGATTGTTCTAATACAGCCTTGGCCTGCACAGTAGAGCTAACTTTACAGATTGTTCTAACACAGGCTTGGCCTGCACAGTAGAGCGTACTTTACTGATTGTTCTAATACAGCCTTGGCCTACAATAGAGTGTACTTTACTGATTGGTCACACACATGTAATGTCTTACGTGAATGATTAAATCATAGCCACCTTAGAGATAAATTGCCTGATGCAACAAGCCTTTATGCTAAGCCAATTGTCATTTTATGTCTGATTAATGTTATTTCTAGTAGGGATTGACATGTCATAATTTGCTAATATAGGAGGAATTTATATTTTCAATATGTTTTTCAATAACATTTTCACCACAGCCATGACAATAACTAGTATTCAGATACATGTATAAAACAATGCAATCATAAATACACTGAAGTTGTTTTACTTTACTCAGCATAATTCTTTTTTAAGTCACATTGTGTGCATAGTGAGTACTGGGAATATTTGCAGCTTTAAGTATAACCACGGAGTTATATAGATATTGTCACTGAACAAAATGTCATGTGACTAACTATGGATCCAGAAGGACCTCACTGTGTTAGTAGCTATGTAACTAGGGCTGTGTAATTAGGGCTGTGTATTGTGATTTTTCTTGATTCAGGTATCCATGCTGCGATACGTATTGCGATATATTGGGAACTTAAAGATCACATATACTCTAGGGGGGTACAAATACATTAATCACTAATTGGCATCGTTATATATGAAACCCTGTCATTAAAACTACTCATTTCGATCTTAAATTAACTTAAATCGACCTTTTTGACAACAGTGCACGATTCTCACCTGTGAACGAAATTTCAACCAATCAGAGTGGCGTTTCTGTGACGTCATATGAGGAATAGGTATGAGGCCCGATGCAGAATTCATTTACATTTCAGGGGTTAAATTATCTTGTTTACAGGTTTGTATAAACCTGAAATCGTGACAACTGTTGTGAAAAATGAAAGCTATATGTTCTCACAATCTACTGTCACTTAATTTTGTCTCCTGCTTTGCCTAGTTTCCGAGTTACAACTTGTTTTCATAGACGATTCTGTCAAAATCGCTTGGTGTCGCTAGGCCTTATTTGATCGAGCCAGACGCAAGTGATAGTGAAAACGATGATCAGCCTCGCTCATCACGGTTGCGGTTAATTTCTTCAACCTAAACAGTGTGACATTAAGAAGGGTGGATGCCCATCAGATGCAGTTATTTGAAAATATCCCCGGTACTTGTCTGATTGTAATAAAGTATGAAAGCAGTGTGGGCTTTTTCAGGTTTTCTTATGCCTGGATGGTATAATGACGGATCCAAATTGATCCTATTTCTGTGTTTTTTTACCTCGATATATAATCATGTCATGTAAAATATGACGTCTATTACGTATGATATTAAAAATTGACTTTTGATTTATTGGAATCCGTAAACTAAACAACCCTCCTTTGCCATTGCTAGAAGAATCTGAAAATTTACTTAGGTAAATAGGTACATACAGTTTTAGCACACAGCAAATGCTTATATGTATTTCTTATGCAACAATGAAGTTCTGTTTGTATTCTCAAAACAGTGTCGGTCCACAAGTTTTCACATGCAATACAGCAACTAATACTCCCTTGTTGTAACCCGTGTTAGGTGGTATAATCCTACACATGTTATTTGTCATCATTCACTTGATGGTCAGTTAATGAATTTGTAACAGGTATAATTAGTGGTAACACCACTTAGTTTACCCGACAAAGGTTCCCATTTGGCATTTCTTGTGTCTGGAATAAATACTCAACATTCTAAACATCGATCAAAGGATTAACCGATAACACGCTGATTGATTAATTACTTTAATCTTGCACAGCGGATTTGTCAAAAGGTAGTGTTTATGTATGTAGATTTACTAATCTATGCTGAATACACACTGTCGTGTCTGTGTCTGTATAAAAACAATGTCCTTCTTTCAAGGATTAACAGCCAATACATTGATTGATTACTCATTATTGGCTAACTAAATTACTTTTTTTAAAGAATTGCAGACATTATGCAATTAGTTGCCAGGTGTGCTATCTTGGGTGACCAATGAGATATACCTGAAACGATATATCACTTTTTCGTATATTAGACTGTTAAAAGACACATGACTTGGAACAGCTGCAGATGAATGGCATATCACTCGTTTTTGTGGATATTGATGGATACATTCCTCGCCTGACATTGTTCCTATAACTTTAATCTGTTTTATTTTTAATATTTGCAATTTGTTTTTTATTCAATTGTCGTAGCATTCAACAGAATCATTGTTTTCGCTGTGAAGTGTAATGAGGCATGTGTGCGAATTATGATTCACATTGGCAAACTATAAAATGTCTAGATATTACAGTCCTGTTATACATTCACTATAAGTATCAGCAGATCGTCTGCTTTTTATTTAGTTTCAAAATGCATACAAGTATGATAATAAACTAATTAGGATTATAAGACCAAATATAAAGTCGTACATTGACTAGTATCTACATACTGGTGAGTGGACGTTAACCACGTGAATGTAGCAAGAAATGTATCGTGCAGTATTGTCACTTCGACCCTCACTTCGCTTCCATGGAAGAAATCGTTATGTTACAAGTTGTGTCATGCAAAATTCTTTTAGTCATGATTCAAATACATATTTAACTACGAGTAAAAAGTATATTTGACTTTCTAACATGATGAAAACAAACCATAATCTCATTAATTCTACGATTTCAAAAATTGTGGCGCCCTGTCGCGAACATCCCGAGTCTGAGGATAAATGCTATTTAGGTTTGTTTTCACCGAGTAACAAAATCAAGACTACTTTCTACTGGTAGTAAAATATATATTTGATTGATGGCCAATAGGATTTTGCATGACATAGCTTATAACATAACAATTTCTCGTGGAAGCGAGGTGGGTGTCAATATAATACTACTTACAATATTATTGTTACTTCAACCCCAACCTCGCTTCTGAGGAAGAAATCGTTATATCACAAGTTGTGTCATGGAAAATCTTTATGGTCATCAATCATATACATATTTTACTACAACTAGTAAGTAGTTTTGATTCTTTAACTTCCATGAAGCGTTCTGAACACAAGTAAGATATCGATTCAGGCTTCCACAACGCCGCGACTCACAAACATAACCCATGTAGCACTTAACCGCGGGTCCTGTGGAAATCTGTGCATGGTCACACCATCGCCCGACCCCTAGGAGCAATTGTCGACAACGCATGATTCGGCATGTCTTCGTTGATGTCGAGAAATCATCAAAATGACGAGCTTACTACACACTTTATATACAACTAACTGAAAATCCTTCCTCATATGACGTCACTGCAGTGCTCTGGCGACAGAGTTACG